GAACTTCTGTTAAAACAGGTTTTATCAGAAGACAAAGTTGTCAGAAGGAATGCTACCATGTGTCTTGGAACTATGGCTCAAAATGGTTAGTACAATAGAGCCTTGCACTTCATGATTATGTACATAAATGTAAAAATAGCGGTGATTTTGCTACAAATAAGTAAGGTGAGTCCTGGCACTCATCTTGTCAAAAATCATGAGTCCCAGTGCAGAACCAATGTGTCCCAGTTCAAAAACAACACATAGTCCTGAATTGGGGATTAGCAGTGAAAGTGGTAGTAGTCCTAAATTGAAAATGTCTGGGCCTTTAAGTAACCAGACAGTTTTAACAGTTCTTAAAATCTGAAGGCAGATTTCAAAACTCTTTTTTAGAGCCTACTGAAAAATATAGTCCTTCTATTTATAGCACAAAAATAAAGACTAAAATAAATATGCATCGTTAAACAACAGCCACAGAAATCACAACAATAGGAAATTCTAATTGATTATGTCTTCAGATCAATCGATCTTTGCATCCTACAGGACTCATGTCATGAATTATTTTGTGTCTTTGGGGATTTTAATATGTTGGGGACTCAGGATGCAGAGGTAACAAAATCACTGAAATTATGGTTTTAATTAACTGATTTGGCAGGGTAATGAGCCACCTGAAAAGATTCAAAAGTTGATTTTTGGAGTACTCACCCATTATAAAAATGAATTACCAACAGCTATAGTAAGTATAAACCACAGGTCCACCACCCCTACTTTTAACTTTTTTTTGAGAATAATTTTTTAAAGATTTTTTATTCTAATTTTTTAAACACAGTTACTTAAACTACATGTAATTTTTTTTCACTTCAGCAAATGTTAAAAAAGAACTCCGCAAATTGTCCAGTATTCAGCCACTGGTGACCCTTCTAGGGCCTGATGGTAAGTTGATGTCAAAATAACCATAATTGTAGCAAAGAAAAGTAAAGAGAAAAGAATGAAAAATTACTGTGACTCATACAGAATTACTATTTTTAATTTTTTTGATTTTTCTGTTGATTATTTAGAGGATGTTTTATGCCATGAATTTGCGAGTTTGGCACTTTCATCTATGGCAGGTAAGTTAATAAATTATAGAATGATGCTATTAAGCATTTCATATTGCTTAGAAGATGTTGAAATATTAGTACGGAAATATTTCAGACTGTGTATGACAGAATTATAATGATAATGTTTTTATCTACTTTAATAAATTTGTGTTTCAGACACCCAGTGGTGTATAGAAAAGTTTCAAAACAGCTGTTGGGAGGAGTCCTGCTATGCTTATATGACTTTTTTTCCTTGTAGCTGAGTTTTCTTGCAAAGTGGAGATATTTGAACAGGGAGGCCTTGAGCCCATCATAAAACTTCTTTCCTCCACTGACTGTGATGTGCAGGTACGAAGACTGAGAAGAATCAGATCTCAGGGCTAAATCTAATCTCCTTTAGGATGAGTTAAACTAAGAATGCTTGCCATTCTGTTACATTTAGTTAATGGTTAAATATTAAAAAATCGTGCTTATGCAAGGATCTGTTTCATCATGCAAATAAATGGTACATGTAGTTCTCTTCAGTCTGTACATGTTTAGAAAATTAAGTAATAAAATTTCTGGTTATATACACGGCTGTATGTATAGTAATCTTCTAACACTAGGAAAAAAGTTTCATCCCGGAGCTCATCCCAGTTTCTTTCGCTAGAAGCATGCTATGGCTGGGATACTAGTCCATTGCAGGGTTACCCCCCAGCAGTATGTCGCTGGTACCCATTTTGTACACCTGGGTGAAAAGAGATGAAGTGGAGTAAAGGTCCTTGTCTAAGGAAACAATGCAACAGGCGAGGCTTAAACCGCAGACCTCTAAATCCCAAGTTCAAGGTGTTAACTGCTTGGCCACACATGCCTCCATGCTAACACTAGGGGACTCTTAGATTTTTCAAAATTTAAGGTGGCTCTGAACCTCTTCCAGTCAGTTTTTTTTTACTCTGTAGCCTTCACAGCAATAGTTATGGGTGTGCCCAGTGGTAGATTTGATTTACTTGTATAATAAGCACATAAAGCTTAAACTTAAGTTTAACTACAGTAAAAAGTATGGGTGAAGACCTTGATACTGCATATGCCCCAAAAAATGGAGACATTATAAACAGTCCCTGGCACTTTTTGTTTCACTGTCAAGTATTTTTATGTTTCTCAGAAAAACTCTGTTGAAGCAATTTCACTGCTAGTTCAAGATTACCACAGCAGATCTGCCATACGAGAAATGAATGGTGAGTATCAGTGGACTGTTATAATGTTATAGTCATCTGTGAATTTGTTAACTGTGAGTGTGCTATAAATTTAGTTCCCCTGGCCTTAAGACTTAAGTGGCATTTGTTCCCTCGCTATGTTGGGGTGAAGAGACAGCTGTCATTTCAGGGTAGTGTATCATGCCCCCTCTCCCACTAAAATAATAAACTGGATATAATTATCTCATTGTTATTATTAACTATTATTACAATGAAGTTATGAATATATGAAAATCATAGCCTGAATTTTTTTTTCACAGCTGCAAAAGTTGCGTCTATAGCTGCAATGATCTTCTTTCATATTATTGTTACTACAATATTTGAACATTTATTTTATGAATGGATTATATTAATATCTGATTATCGCTCTTAGGGTTGCAACCTCTTTTGGCATTACTAGATTCAGAGTATGCCATCATTCAACAGCTGGCACTGGAGAGTTTGATCCAAATTTCTCTTGATGGTAATTGATTAATACACTGTTTATTGTTATTTATTGTCTTATATAATTTTATTTAAGACAACTAATATTATGTACAAGTGTGCTCTAGGAAAATCTGAGCCCAAGAATCCAGGTTGTCCAACAAATACGTTGTACATGACATATTGTATACTTGTAAATAAATTTTAAAAGTGGCATTTTTTGTCACCCTTGGGCAAATTAAATATCTGTATTTAAGCTGCAATGAAGATGTCATCAGGAAGGTAGTGCTAGTGAACATTATGGTGCATTCCGTAGAAAACCTGTGGAGACTAGTTTTGCATTTTTTGTTTTACCAGCTGATAACAGAGGAGCTTTGAGGGACCTTGAAGGACTTGAAAAACTCGTTGAATTTGTTGGAAATAAGGTAAGTGTTGAAAATGCTCTTGTCAAATTGAGGAAATGAAAAAATATATACATGTGTCTAATGTGTGACTTCTTGCAGGAATATGAGGATTTACATGTGCAAGCTTTGCAAGTGTTGTCGAACTGTCTTCAGGATGTAGAGAGTATGCAGGTAGTTTACCTTTCATTTCTCACATGTTTAATGGACTTTTTGTAGTAATGTAAAGTGGGGGTAGTCTTTCTCGAAGTCCTTCCCTGTTACAGCTGTATGCATTCAGTTTTTGCACTTTGCTTACACTTTTTGCTTTCCTCACATGACTTTTGCTGCTCAATTTTTAGAGAAGTTTAGATAGGAGATCACTCTTTGTTGGTTTTCTTTCTAAAATCTGCTTCATGGGATAGATTTAAAAGGTTTAAAGAGCAAAAATGTCTGGACATTAAGTTCCTTCCTTCCTAGCCTTTCACTATTGGCTTCTAGATTGTTACTTGAAACTTTTGAATCTTTTTAGCTTATTCAGACCTCTGGTGGATTACAAAAACTTCTTGCATTTGCTGCCGAATCCACCATTCCTGAAGTCCAGCAGCATGCGGTATGTTCTTTTAATAATTATTATGTTTAACCAGAAGCATATGCTTCTGGTTTAAGACATAGATCATTCTCAGTAAATGTGCATTTATGTAGTCTAATTTGGTGGAACAGTTACCAACAAAAATCAAGAGCTAAAGCCTCAAATTGTGATGATCCTTAGGTCATTCAAGCCCCTGGCAAGATTGTAGCTCACAATAAGCCTTTCCCGGGGCTTAGAGTTTGGGGAAAAACCTGTCATAGCTGTTATATGAAGGGCCTATAGAAAAATAATTTTATATTTTAAATTGGTTAAATGCTAGCCTGAATTTCAGCTGTCTTTTTAAGTTGCAATCTCCCAAGAGAGATAACGCCTCTTCCCAGGTAACTGAAGGAGCAGAGGAGTCAGATAAAATTCAGGCTAGCAGAATGCTTAAAAAAATCCAGAGGTATTGTTTAATAAACAAGCAGGCATGTTATTTTATAAGTCAGAAAAATGATTTCACCCTTTAATTTGTAATATCCACAATTTGTCAAAAGATCAAAGCATTTCTTTCCCTTTGGTGATCACTTTAATAATTCTTGCAACCTTTCTACATGTTTATGTATTGATTTTGTTAGGAGAAATTTGATATTGGTTACCCTTAGGACTAAAAGGGTTAGGACATGAAGACTGAACCGCCAGTTTATTGATCATCCCCATACACTTACAGATCCCACAGATCTGTACTGTTGAATTATTTTAACAAGAAAGACTGAAGCTAAATTCTCAACCTTGTTTTATCATGGTTAAAGCCACTCAATTTTAAAGAACTTTTTTAGTATTGTATTTCCCCATGAAATGACCTACGCGGATAAGTGTGCCAAGGGAAAATATGGTTACCAGAAAGGCTAGCTATGTATATTTATGTTTCTTATAACTTTGTCTTATTTCAGGCAAAAGCTATAGCCTTAGCAGCAAAGAACGGTAAGCTTGAATTCTTTAAGTTTCCAGTTTATTTATGTCCAGATCTTGGAGTTTTGGCATAATTAAGCACTTCAGCGTGAAAAATAATAATGTACTGCACGATTTTGTTGATTGCCATGTTTCATTTTATTGATTTGTTTTTCCTTTACAATTTATCAAAGCCTCCTTAGGCATCCAGCCCTAATAACCACTCTTGTCTAAGCTCACAGGACTCAACAGGAATCTAACAGATACTACTTTTCTTAGGTGAAAATCGAAAGATATTCCATGAGCAAGAATGCGAGAAAACATTGATAACACTTCTTGCTACCGATGTGAGTTGTGGCAGAAGCCTGTTACCCTAAAAAGCTCCTTTTTCTGGTTATTGTTGTTGTTTAACATTTTGTTTCTTACATAGACTACGAGCAGTCTCTCTTTTTAATCAGATTTTTTGAGGGAAGTGCACAAGTGCCCAAGCATTGAGCGGCAAAGCCTCGAGATGCAAACAAGGGCAGCACCCCAAGGAGAAAAACAGAGAGTCTCTTCATTCATTCCAGTTACGCACGCATCTATGTTTGTCCTCTCAATCGCGACATTTACATTTACATTTACATTTACCTGTTCATTTTTGTCTCCTGTGTTTCACTGGACAAACTAGAACCTGATGAGACTGCTCGAAGTCTGTGTCTTTCATGTCAGTATGACTGACATCTTAATCTTTCTAGACATCCCTGGTCATCCCAGTCGTCCCTAGTCATCCCTTCTCATCCTTAGTCATTTCAGTCATCCCAGTCATCCTACTCTTCCCTTCTCATCCTTAGTCATTTCAGTCATCCCAGTCATCTCAGTCATCCTTGTCATTCCAGTCATCCCTGGTCATCCCAGTCATCACTAGTCATTTCAGTCATCCCAGTCATTTCAGTCATCCTAGTCATCCCAGTCATTCCTACTCATCCCAGTAATTCCTAGCAATCCCTAGTCATCCCAAGTCATCTCAGTCATCCCAATAATCCTATTCATCCCATTCATCCTTAGTCATCCCAGTCATCCCTAGTCATCCCCAGTCATCCCCAGTCATCCCTAGTCATCCTTAGTCATCCAAGTCCTCCCAAGCATCCCAGTCATCCCTAGTGATCCCTAGTCATATTAGTCATCCCTAGACATCCCAGTCATCCTTAGTCATCCCTACACATCCTAGTCATCCCTAGTGATCCCAGTCATCCTTAGTCATCCCTTGTCATCCCTAGTCATCCGTAGTCATTCTAGTGATTCTGGGCAGTCATCCTAGTCATTCCTAGTCATCCCTAGTCATCCCTAGTCATCCCTAGTCATCCCTAGTCATCCCAGTCATCCCTAGTCATCCCTAGTCATCCCAGTCATCCCTAGTCATCCCTAGTCATCCCAGTCATCCCTAGTCATCCCTAGTCATCCTAGTCATCCCTAGTCATCCCTAGTCATCCCTAGTCATCCCAGTCATCCCTAGTCATCCCTAGTCATCCCAGTCATCCCTAGTCATCCCTAGTCATCCCAGTCATCCCTAGTCATCCCTAGTCATCCTAGTCATCCCTAGTCATCCCTAGTCATCCCAGTCATCCCTAGTCATCCCTAGTCATCCCAGTCATCCCTAGTCATCCCTAGTCATCCCAGTCATCCCTAGTCATCCCTAGTCATCCCAGTCATCCCTAGTCATCCCTAGTCATCCCAGTCATCCCTAGTCATCCCTAGTCATCCCAGTCATCCCTAGTCATCCCTAGTCATCCCAGTCATCCCTAGTCATCCCTAGTCATCCCAGTCATCCCTAGTCATCCCTAGTCATCCCAGTCATCCCTAGTCATCCCTAGTCATCCCAGTCATCCCTAGTCATCCCTAGTCATCCCAGTCATCCCTAGTCATCCCTAGTCATCCCAGTCATCCCTAGTCATCCCTAGTCATCCCAGTCATCCCTAGTCATCCCTAGTCATCCCAGTCATCCCTAGTCATCCCTAGTCATCCCAGTCATCCCTAGTCATCCCTAGTCATCCCAGTCATCCCTAGTCATCCCTAGTCATCCCAGTCATCCCTAGTCATCCCTAGTCATCCCAGTCATCCCTAGTCATCCCTAGTCATCCCAGTCATCCCTAGTCATCCCTAGTCATCCCAGTCATCCCTAGTCATCCCTAGTCATCCCAGTCATCCCTAGTCATCCCTAGTCATCCCAGTCATCCCTAGTCATCCCTAGTCATCCCAGTCATCCCTAGTCATCCCTAGTCATCCCAGTCATCCCTAGTCATCCCTAGTCATCCCTAGTCATCCCTAGTCATCCCTAGTCATCCCTAGTCATCCCAGTCATCCCTAGTCATCCCTAGTCATCCCTAGTCATCCCTAGTCATCCCTAGTCATCCCAGTCATCCCTAGTCATCCCTAGTCATCCCTAGTCATCCCAGTCATCCCTAGTCATCCCTAGTCATCCCAGTCATCCCTAGTCATCCCTAGTCATCCCAGTCATCCCTAGTCATCCCTAGTCATCCCAGTCATCCCTAGTCATCCCTAGTCATCCCAGTCATCCCTAGTCATCCCTAGTCATCCCAGTCATCCCTAGTCATCCCTAGTCATCCCAGTCATCCCTAGTCATCCCTAGTCATCCCAGTCATCCCTAGTCATCCCTAGTCATCCCAGTCATCCCTAGTCATCCCTAGTCATCCCAGTCATCCCTAGTCATCCCTAGTCATCCCAGTCATCCCTAGTCATCCCTAGTCATCCCAGTCATCCCTAGTCATCCCTAGTCATCCCAGTCATCCCTAGTCATCCCTAGTCATCCCAGTCATCCCTAGTCATCCCTAGTCATCCCAGTCATCCCTAGTCATCCCTAGTCATCCCAGTCATCCCTAGTCATCCCTAGTCATCCCAGTCATCCCTAGTCATCCCTAGTCATCCCAGTCATCCCTAGTCATCCCTAGTCATCCCAGTCATCCCTAGTCATCCCTAGTCATCCCAGTCATCCCTAGTCATCCCTAGTCATCCCAGTCATCCCTAGTCATCCCTAGTCATCCCAGTCATCCCTAGTCATCCCTAGTCATCCCAGTCATCCCTAGTCATCCCTAGTCATCCCAGTCATCCCTAGTCATCCCTAGTCATCCCAGTCATCCCTAGTCATCCCTAGTCATCCCAGTCATCCCTAGTCATCCCTAGTCATCCCAGTCATCCCTAGTCATCCCTAGTCATCCCAGTCATCCCTAGTCATCCCTAGTCATCCCAGTCATCCCTAGTCATCCCTAGTCATCCCAGTCATCCCTAGTCATCCCTAGTCATCCCAGTCATCCCTAGTCATCCCTAGTCATCCCAGTCATCCCTAGTCATCCCTAGTCATCCCAGTCATCCCTAGTCATCCCTAGTCATCCCAGTCATCCCTAGTCATCCCTAGTCATCCCAGTCATCCCTAGTCATCCCTAGTCATCCCAGTCATCCCTAGTCATCCCTAGTCATCCCAGTCATCCCTAGTCATCCCTAGTCATCCCAGTCATCCCTAGTCATCCCTAGTCATCCCAGTCATCCCTAGTCATCCCTAGTCATCCCAGTCATCCCTAGTCATCCCTAGTCATCCCAGTCATCCCTAGTCATCCCTAGTCATCCCAGTCATCCCTAGTCATCCCTAGTCATCCCAGTCATCCCTAGTCATCCCTAGTCATCCCAGTCATCCCTAGTCATCCCTAGTCATCCCAGTCATCCCTAGTCATCCCTAGTCATCCCAGTCATCCCTAGTCATCCCTAGTCATCCCTAGTCATCCCAGTCATCCCTAGTCATCCCTAGTCATCCCTAGTCATCCCAGTCATCCCTAGTCATCCCTAGTCATCCCAGTCATCCCTAGTCATCCCTAGTCATCCCAGTCATCCCTAGTCATCCCTAGTCATCCCAGTCATCCCTAGTCATCCCTAGTCATCCCAGTCATCCCTAGTCATCCCTAGTCATCCCAGTCATCCCTAGTCATCCCTAGTCATCCCAGTCATCCCTAGTCATCCCTAGTCATCCCAGTCATCCCTAGTCATCCCTAGTCATCCCAGTCATCCCTAGTCATCCCTAGTCATCCCAGTCATCCCTAGTCATCCCTAGTCATCCCAGTCATCCCTAGTCATCCCTAGTCATCCCAGTCATCCCTAGTCATCCCTAGTCATCCCAGTCATCCCTAGTCATCCCTAGTCATCCCAGTCATCCCTAGTCATCCCTAGTCATCCCAGTCATCCCTAGTCATCCCTAGTCATCCCAGTCATCCCTAGTCATCCCTAGTCATCCCAGTCATCCCTAGTCATCCCTAGTCATCCCAGTCATCCCTAGTCATCCCTAGTCATCCCAGTCATCCCTAGTCATCCCTAGTCATCCCAGTCATCCCTAGTCATCCCTAGTCATCCCAGTCATCCCTAGTCATCCCTAGTCATCCCAGTCATCCCTAGTCATCCCTAGTCATCCCAGTCATCCCTAGTCATCCCTAGTCATCCCAGTCATCCCTAGTCATCCCTAGTCATCCCTAGTCATCCCTAGTCATCCCTAGTCATCCCTAGTCATCCCAGTTATCCCTAGTCATCCCAGTCATCCCTAGTCATCCCTAGTCATCCCTAGTCATCCCAGTCATCCCTAGTCATCCCTAGTCATCCCAGTCATCCCTAGTCATCCCTAGTCATCCCAGTCATCCCTAGTCATCCCTAGTCATCCCTAGTCATCCCAGTCATCCCTAGTCATCCCTAGTCATCCCTAGTCATCCCAGTCATCCCTAGTCATCCCTAGTCATCCCTAGTCATCCCAGTCATCCCTAGTCATCCCTAGTCATCCCTAGTCATCCCAGTCATCCCTAGTCATCCCTAGTCATCCCTAGTCATCCCAGTCATCCCTAGTCATCCCTAGTCATCCCTAGTCATCCCAGTCATCCCTAGTCATCCCTAGTCATCCCTAGTCATCCCAGTCATCCCTAGTCATCCCTAGTCATCCCTAGTCATCCCAGTCATCCCTAGTCATCCCTAGTCATCCCTAGTCATCCCAGTCATCCCTAGTCATCCCTAGTCATCCCTAGTCATCCCAGTCATCCCTAGTCATCCCTAGTCATCCCTAGTCATCCCAGTCATCCCTAGTCATCCCTAGTCATCCCTAGTCATCCCAGTCATCCCTAGTCATCCCTAGTCATCCCTAGTCATCCCAGTCATCCCTAGTCATCCCTAGTCATCCCTAGTCATCCCAGTCATCCCTAGTCATCCCTAGTCATCCCTAGTCATCCCAGTCATCCCTAGTCATCCCTAGTCATCCCTAGTCATCCCAGTCATCCCTAGTCATCCCTAGTCATCCCTAGTCATCCCAGTCATCCCTAGTCATCCCTAGTCATCCCTAGTCATCCCAAGTCATCCGTAGTCATCCCTAGTCATCTCTAGTCATCCCTAGTCATCCCTGTCATCCCTAGTCATTCCAGTCATTCCAGTCATTCCTAGGCATTCCTAGTCATCCCTAGTCATCGTTAGTCATCCCAGGCATCCTTAGTCATCCCTTGTCATCCCAGTCATCCCAGTCATCCCTAGTCATCCCTAGTCATCCGAGTCATCCTTAGTCATCCCTAGTCATCCCTAGTCATCCCTAGTCATCCCAGTTATTCTTAGTCATCCATAGTCATCCATAGTCATCCTCAGTCATCCCAGTCATCCCAGTCATTCTTAGTCATCCCTAGTCATCCCAGTCATCCCTAGTCATCCCTAGTCATCCCTAATCATCCCTAGTCATTCCAATCATCCCTAGTCATTCCTAGTCATCCGTACTCATCCCAATCATCCCTAGTCATCCCCAGTCATCTCTAGTCATCCCTAGTCATCCCAGTCATCCCTAGTCATCCCTAGTCATGCCTTGTCATCTCAGTCATCCTTAGTCATCCCTAGTCATGCCTATTCATCCCTAGTCATCCCAGTCATCCCTAGTCATCCCTAGTCATCCCAGTCATCCCTTGTCATCCCTAATCATCCCAGTCATCCCTTGTCATCCCTTGTCATCCCAGTCATCCCTAATCATCCCCAGTCATCCCAGTCATCCCTAGTCAACCCTAGTCATCCCTTGTCATCCCTTGTCATCCTTTGTCATCCCTAGTCATCCTAGTCATTCCTATTCATTCCTAGTCATCCCTAGTCATCCCTTGGCATCCCTTGTCATTCTTTGTCATCCCTAGTCATCCTAGTCATTCCTATTCACCCCAGTCATCCCTAGTCATCCCAGTCGACTCCTGCTTGCATATATTGCACAATTTATTTATAATTGCATTAGTTTGGAGAGAAGTTTTGATCAACCGGTCTCTTGAGGATGATGTTGTGATAGAAATCTTTTTTAGTAAATGTTTGTGGGAAAAACAAACAAACAACGCATTTTTTAAGTTTTCACATCATCATAAAACTCGATTTAGGTCTCTTTCTCCCGGTTGGTCTTTCTACCTCCCTGTGGTGGAAGGGGGAGATGAAAGATCGTGGAAAAGGGGTTTATCCAAGGCACGTTGCCAAAGTGGCCTATACAATGAGTCTAGAAGATGAGTCTGGATGAAATCATATGGTGTTATAGGTCAAAGGAAGCTCTTTAAGGGGTATTTCGCATGTTACTATATGGTTTTAACGCAATTTTACGAAGGAAAATTGTAAATTTTACCTTGAATTTGTAATTCTTGGCAGCTAGAGGGTAAAATTTACATCCAAGTTTGCGAGATTAAAACTGACTTTCTGCTATTGTACTTACTAGAACCCTGGGGTCCAGGCCTCAGCATCTTTAGCTCTGGCAGTTATGTCCGAGAATCTCAGCAGTAGAGACGTGGTAGGAAAACTGGGTAAGAGTTCTCTCTTGTTTTGTATAGTTTGCAGTAACTGTCAGCTTGCTGTTAGCAATTGAGTATTTCTAGAACTACAGCAAGTGTATCGCCCTTATTGTTATTTTGTTAGCACATTGACGTTTCTATGGGGTTTGCCTTGTATAGCATTTAGCGTTTTTGGATGATATTCCAAAGAGGGGTCAAAGAAGTGAGCTGGAAAAACGATGCAACAAATGTTGCATATTGTTTGGCGAGATAGAGGTAGTTGAGGCGATTTGAGGTGTGTTTTGGATGGTTCGAGTGTTGAGAAGTCACCTCCGATAACTCCGAAATAGAGTTGAGACGGAGGTCTTTTGGGGTTATTATATGTTTCTGGGAAACTACCCACCGACCCCTCTCCTAAGCCAACATTTTGCCCTGAGTGAGAAGTAATCCGTATTTTGTATAGATACCGGGAAAATGGATCTAAAAGGTGAAATATGATGTAACNTCCAAGGCACGTTGCCAAAGTGGCCTATACAATGAGTCTAGAAGATGAGTCTGGATGAAATCATATGGTGTTATAGGTCAAAGGAAGCTCTTTAAGGGGTATTTCGCATGTTACTATATGGTTTTAACGCAATTTTACGAAGGAAAATTGTAAATTTTACCTTGAATTTGTAATTCTTGGCAGCTAGAGGGTAAAATTTACATCCAAGTTTGCGAGATTAAAACTGACTTTCTGCTATTGTACTTACTAGAACCCTGGGGTCCAGGCCTCAGCATCTTTAGCTCTGGCAGTTATGTCCGAGAATCTCAGCAGTAGAGACGTGGTAGGAAAACTGGGTAAGAGTTCTCTCTTGTTTTGTATAGTTTGCAGTAACTGTCAGCTTGCTGTTAGCAATTGAGTATTTCTAGAACTACAGCAAGTGTATCGCCCTTATTGTTATTTTGTTAGCACATTGACGTTTCTATGGGGTTTGCCTTGTATAGCATTTAGCGTTTTTGGATGATATTCCAAAGAGGGGTCAAAGAAGTGAGCTGGAAAAACGATGCAACAAATGTTGCATATTGTTTGGCGAGATAGAGGTAGTTGAGGCGATTTGAGGTGTGTTTTGGATGGTTCGAGTGTTGAGAAGTCACCTCCGATAACTCCGAAATAGAGTTGAGACGGAGGTCTTTTGGGGTTATTATATGTTTCTGGGAAACTACCCACCGACCCCTCTCCTAAGCCAACATTTTGCCCTGAGTGAGAAGTAATCCGTATTTTGTATAGATACCGGGAAAATGGATCTAAAAGGTGAAATATGATGTAACTATTTCCAGAGTGACAGTAACGATTTCGTTTGATTCCAGACGGTATTCCGCCATTAATTAATCTACTCAACAACGACAACCCTGATGTAAAAGAAGGCGCAACACTCGCTCTGGCTAACATAACCACTGCTAACAACACAAATTGCGGGTAAGTTTATTTGTTTTTAGATGTTTGCTGACCAAGACAGACACTCATTCCGTTTCCCTATTGTATTAAAAGAAATCTAAGTATAAAATGAGAAAAACAGTGTTGACTTAAGAACCTCTTCTGTTAACACTTTCACTCTTATCGGTGACCAAAGTAAAAATTCCCATTTTTTTAGTAGTACGTGAAAGTTCGACCGAAGAGGTTTCGTATGAATAGCAAGTCGCCCGAAGGTCATCTCTCGTTGTAAAGTCGAACGTCATGTTAGGGTGAAGTTTTGTTAAAAACAAATTCGCCCGCTATGAAGTATTCCAGAAATATCACTGTGACTTATGCTAACAATAGCTTTCAGGAACGCAATAATCGTGATACAGTAGGAAGTTCTCCTAACCGACACTCAGCCGCCTTCAGATAACCCCGTTTTTCTTAACTCCTATTCAAACTCTGTATTTTTACATTCCCAAAAGCGGCCAGTTCCAGTTGAGGACACTTTTTTCGCGTTTCGAGGATATCCGCTTACGAGAGCTTCCGCTTACGGTCCGTTTTGACGTTTTATGTGTTTGTAGTGACGTGGTAGACAAGGGAGGTGTTGAACCGCTGATCACTCTTCTGAATGACCCCAAGCAGCTGGTTCAAGCCAATGCTGCTGTGTGCCTCACCAATCTAGCTACTGAAGGTATGTTAAGTTACAGATTTTGTAGGGAGGGGAGAGTGGAAGGGGTGTAAGTGGTGTGCAGTATTGAATTTCCCCTACCCCACCCCTCACTTCCGTCTTCAATTCGATCAAAGTACACTGGAGTTATCCGTTATCGCATTTTTTGTCCTTGAATTAGTTGGATCACTAATAGAGAGCTTCAGATTTGAGGACAAGAGTACAAGTACAAGATTTAAATCAAAGATTTTGCGCTTGTTCTCCAAAAAAAAGAAAAAGATACCCCGGAAAGCTTCATTTTACTTTTTTTCACCAAAAAAGTTAGTACGGTTATTTATAGTGAAGGAGGTTAAGCCCTCTGCCAATAGAAAAATGATAAAACTTCTTACATTTGATAACTTGTTCCCGCCACTACCACATTCTCACTAAAACTCGTAGTAGAATGACGACGGCTACCACGTTTTCCCGCTAAAATGACGCTGATTCACGCGTGAGCAATACTCAGTATTGAGAAAACCTCGTACTCATAGTCGTCCTCATCTCAGAATCTAAAGCTCTGTAATGGTTTGTGTTTCCTAAAATTCCTCATTGGTTTCGTGAATCTTCTTTTAGAGTCTTGGAGATCCGAGATTCAGCAGAGAGGAGTTGTTCCAGCTCTTGTCCAAGCGTTACAGTCTAAGTAAGTAGAAACATTTTGAAAATCCAGAATACCTTTGTTCAGGACGAATTATCTCTGATCGATTATGATAGCCGATAAACGTAGTGAATTTTGTAATGTAAAACTCACAAGAACCTGTTCATACGGAGCCGTCACACATAACCTATAGTGAATAGCCCAATTCTTACCATGAAATTCACAACTGCACCACTTCAACCAGATCTTCAAATGATGAATATTATTTCTTTTGTACAGTGCCGCAATAGTGCAAAGTAAAGCTGGAATCGCTGTGGCTGCCTTCGTGTGCGACGCTGACTCAAGAAATGAGGTGAGCATAACACTGACTTTTAGAGTCCATTCTAAAGGTTTGTATTGTAATTGTGATCGTTAATCTTAACTTAAAAGGAGTTTTCCCTTCTGATACTTGACAATATTAAAGGGGTTCAGAATGCGGTTCACATGCGAACAAGTACGATTACACCTAACCCATCTATTGACCTTGCACTTACGCTATGCTACTGAGCGAAAAAGACCACAACGCACGAAAAAAAAAAGAATAGAAGGACAAAACATTCGATTACAATCTACGTACTACTTTTGATTCCAGCTTCCTCTTGCAAAGTGATGGTTACGACTCGAACTGTCTCTCTAGTTGCACTTGTCAACCTTCAAATTACTGTGACAGTAGGGAACTTAAGCAAACAAGAACGCTGACGTCCGGCGCCAGCTTGCATAAAACGTTCTTAAGATAAGAGGGTTCTTAACTTTTGTTCTGACACAATAACCTATTGTTTTAAGATAATAACTACGAGTTCCCTTAATCTTAAGATGTTTTTTTGCAACCCGACCCCGGACGTCATGAATAACAACTGGAAGTTCGATGTCTCGCATAACGAATCTGAATTCCTTTGCCTGCTCAACGAATTTGCAGAGTCAGAGCACTGAAAGAGAGAAATCACTTTTTGACGCTCGGGACGTCAACGTTCTCGGTGCTTAAGGACCCTAGTTACTATTAATATTAACCCTAGAACATGTTGAAAACCTTAACGCGTATATTTTGGACGCGTAATGTAGGCTATCACTAGCAGAAGTTTATATTTTTTTCTGTCTCATTTGCTCTGACAGTTCCGCGCGGAAGGTGGCCTTCCTCGTCTGGTTGAGTTATTGCGTTCAGGCAATGATGATGTAAGACGGAGCGTGGCCTGGGCCGTGCTTCAGTGTGGTAACGATTTACCAACCGCTACGGAGATTTGTAGACTGGGGTGAGAAAAAATTTTGCGATAGAAATTCTTTGATTTTCTTTGTTTTTGAAAGTTTTCAAGAAGAACCTAAATCAGGAGATGGGCTCCTGCCTAAATCTGATGCTCAGCTGATAAATGGGGTATTAAGAATGTTTTTGCGGCTTTTTGTCCGTAATTAAGTTGTATGATGCAGTTCGGTTATTTCATTTTTATGTTATTTATTATTTTTGCCTTTCGTTAATTGGGTAAGTTGTGGTCAAAACTTTTTGATGGTTTAAAATTTTGTCATAGCTAAAGACAAAGGCAAAAACTTTAAGCTGATTTTTGTGAGAAATTTCAAATCATGCAAAAATGTTAAACATGTGCATATTGGCCCATAAATCAGCCTTAACCCTTTAAGCCGTGAGAGTGATCAGAATGAAATTCCTCCTTGTAATATCCCTGCTCCATAAAATAAGGTGATCAGGAGAATTGAGGATCAATGATCACAAAGGATGAATCTAATTGGTGCTTCAACAAATTTCTCCCCACTACTTCTAGTGAATGAAAACTTATAGGGACATTCAATGAGAATTTGAGTTTTGATATTAGGGTTTGTCTGCTTTAATCTGTAGTGGTTTGGATGTGTTAGGAGAGATTTCCTTGTCCAGTTCTCGCCAGTCTGGTTTTGCGAAAGCCGCCATGGAATGTCTCCTGGACAGTAACCTTCCCGCAAAGTACGCTCTGACAGGCTGTCTAAGTTCTAACAACATCATACAGGATGGATTCTACGATTGTGGACCGGTAAACATTCTGTTCAAGTTAAGCGCACAGATCGCTCTAGCAATTTATGAGACAGAACGGAAGAAAGTTTCTCGGCAGTCGGTTCGAGAGACCACGATGGCGCACTTGTTTTTGTAGCAGATAAGTAGTGAGAAAATTATACGAGACAGAGCAGCTGGGATTAAAATGTGAAACGTAATCGCCCTTTCTGTTCTTGGTTAAATTCTCTCCACCGTCTTTCTGTCACCGCTGACTTTCAATTTCAGTTTTCGCCCGAAGAATAGTAAACATTCAAACAAACAAAAGTATAGAAATAATAATAATAAATTAAACACGCATCAATAAGAACTTCGCGGCTGGTTTGCCGCAAAGCTCCTGTAATATGTCTCGAAATGCCAGTCACAAGACTTTTGCTCATTTCAAACAAAATTGTGCAGCCAATTCTTTTTAGTGACGTCATAAACGGTTTTGACGCAACGCACGCGCATGTATTTTTCTTCCTTCGCGCGCGCCTTACTCTGCCTTACGGAATAGACAAAAAAACGGAATTCTCGAACGTTAGTCTTTTGACTGAGTTTGCTGTCGAGGAAAAAAAACAATGTCGCCTATTTCTATCGGAAACTGTAACATAAAGCATAAACTTAATTCAAAAAGGGCTTTCAAAGCTTTATACAGCCGCAAAGCTCCTGCAATTTCGAAATGCCAGTCCGAGGACTTCTGCTCATTTTCAACAGAAGTGTGCTGCCAATTCTTTTTTAAGTGACGTCATAAACAGTTTTGACGCACGCACGCGCATATTTTTTTTCTTCGCTTGCACCTTACGGAAAACTATAACATAAAACATAAACGCAATCCAGAAAGGGCTTCCAAAGTTTTATAGTTTGATTCGTTTGGCGCAAATCTTATACACAGTAAAAAGAACACAATTAATGAACATTAAAGTGAAAAGTTGTTTGGCGTTCAGTCAAGTTAATGTGATAAGAAACGTTTAAAGTAACTCAACAACAAGGCTATAAGAATTAAGCTGATTGTAGTGTGGTTACATATTTGTTTAGATTCGCCCTGATAGCCGGTTCTTGACACTTGAGGAGCTCAGTTCACAGCCAACAGATGCTCACCGACCGATAATTCTGGTCAACTCCAAAAACCCCGAAAGGTAAGTCGTTACGACGAGTAGTTTCAATATCTCATTACCAAGTAATCAAGAGATTTCTTCAATTCTTTTACTTTCGAGAGTATCAATAAGTTATACTGCCGACGACGTTTCTTGACACGGCTACACTTTGGGATTTCATCCACAGACGCAAATGGCAGACCCACGTTGTACAGCGTAATATCTAGCACCATTGGAAAGCTTGTATTTGAATGATCAAATTTACGGATTTTATCCACAGACTTAAAAATAAGTACCACAGGAAAGTACTGCTCAGTTGCTTTCATTTGAATGGTCTAGGTTTAGGTTTTTTTTAGTAGAGAAGACCTTGTGATGTGATTTTCGCCCGTGAACTTCCAAGCCTGTTCATCGTTGAGTTTGTTTGTTTGTTGTTTTTTCTTTTCGTTCCTTCAGAAAAACTCCTTCGCCAGTTCTCGCTCCCAAAGAACCAGAAAAAAGCCCAGAGAGACTCGCAAAGGGTTCAAAATCCAGCAAAGACTTAAAGGGGTTAGTAACCATGGTCTTGTTGTTCTTCTACTTTATTGCGAACACTAACGAAGGTCGATACTTCTGCGAAGAGCAGCGTTTTGTTATTTCTGTGGGAAAGCCAGGTTTCTTTTTACTCAACACTTCTATTCTTTTTGCTGAAAGACTTGCAACACACGCTGATTTTGCAAGAGTATACAGTGATCTGTTTTACGACGTAAACCATGGCGAGATACTCAATGGGGGGCTTTTGCCTTTAAAAGTGTCAAAAAGACTGACTGACGAGTAACCTCCCACGCAGGCGTTTTTATGGGAGCTCGTATTTCGTTCTTCCCCACAAACGCCTGCTCAACCGAAGACAACATTCCCTTCCCAAGCTTAGCCAATCAGATTGTACCTTCCAAATTCTGGAAGGTTGACCTTGACCGCAGGGTACCCCGATGGATACTCGATCTGCATGAAACATTGGGAAAGCTTTATAACCTCTAATAAATGTTAGACTCAGAGCGGCAAAAGTTAAGACTTAGTCAGATTTTAGAATACTCCGTGCACTGCATAACCTTAAAGGAAGGAAAGAATAGAAGGGAAAGGTATCTCTAGGGTCACGTTTTTACACTACCACGAGTTAATGAATCGTGTTTAGCCTGTCAACACTTTATTTCAAAACTTTTGATTGGTCACTTACCACGCGAATGAAACAATGGGAAAGGAATGTTGTTCTCGGTTGAGCAGGCGTTTGTGGGGAGCGACGAAATACGAGCTTCCGGAAAAACGCCTGCGTAGGAGGCTAACTGACGAGTGGCAGTGACCAATTCCTGGTGTTCGCTGAAGTTAAGTTTCCGTTTTTAAAGAGAGGGTTACTCGTATCTCAGTCTGTTTTGAGAGATTGCTTATTCTTCTGTCCTTTCCTTCAGTAAAAATAAGATCACGCGCGAACGAGAGGAGCAGAAACAAAAGGAAGAAGAGGCCGCTTTGTCCGAAGTCTCAGCCACGCAACAGGAGGAAGTACCCACCTGGCAGCCCCCTACTGATGAGGTGCTACATGGTTATATTGAGGAGGTTCGGAACACTATCCAACCCCTTAGCAACAGTAGCGAGCAGATAGTAGCACTTGCAAGGTAAGTATTAATAACTATATGGGACTTAACCCTTTGATACCCAAAAGTGACCAACATCAATTTTCTCCTAACAATAACCATAGATTGTCAAGAGAAATGGTTGTAAGAATGAATAAAATGATCACCAAAGACAAAATGCTTTGATCTTTTATCAAATTCTCTCCACTAATCTTAAAGGGAATGTATGAAGATCAGTGTGGAGAATTTGTATGTGGAACAGAGCAACGCGCGGGACGTGTTATAGGGGTGCTTACCATTGAGCGAAAAATCCCAAATCTGTCGGACGGAACCGAAGAATTATTGTAGAGTCTTTTTTTTCGGAAATTCCGACCGGAAAATAAGGAGTACGTACCGTAATTTACCATTTCCGTGAGGAAACCGATATTTTTACGAAGCAAAACTTAGGACTTATAAATTTCTGTCGATAATTGCGTATAAAATTTCCACAATTCGGGTTTATTTCCGGAAAAATGAAGCCGCCTAAGCCAGGGAACACGAATTTCCTTTTGGAACATTCCGACTGGGAAACCTTTTTAGACGTGCCGTTTGGTGCTGAAAAGTTTCCACTGGAACGACCTGAAACGCCTTGTTTGATTTACTTTCCAACCGAAATTCCCGGAAACTTTTGTGAATGGTTAATCATTTCACTTGCCCTTTCATTCCGGGGGAGCGATAATGGTCGGGTGTATTCGCAGGCTAGGTTGGTCTGAACCGAATGGAATTTCTCTTTTCATTTACCTCTTTCTTACGCTGACTTCACGTATTGATGTCAACCAGTAGCGCCATGGTTCTGTAACAAAAGATTCTTTTGTTTCATTCGTTACAAATTTGAAAAACAAAAACAATAATTACAAACAGTGATGTCTCCTATTCCAGATTGAAACTGACCAATCGCTAACCAACTGACAATGGGTACTTTATCCAGATTTTTCAGTCAAATGGAAGGCCCTCAAGGTGCTGCATCGTACCCAGGTGCTTCTTGGGATTTTCGACAAGTAGTCGCGGCGCAAAGATCAAGAGAAAGCCTTAAAAAACGGAGAGAAACAAGGGAAGGCTCAACGTGAACTTTTTCATCATTCCCACGACCCCATGCTCCGAGACTACCGCCGAAAATCCCGAGAAGCGCCTGGGTACGAGGCGGCCCAAGATGTCCTTTTCTGGAAGGTGTCTTATAGAAGCTAGAAAGAGTTGACTGTGTTGTGGTCTCTAATCTCTGTTTGATGTCATTTCTTCGCAGCTTTGTCAGTGATAAGATGGGCGGCTCTGTGGACCGAGAATCGCTATCAACGTTCAGTTATGAACTACCCATTGGTCAACTAAAAGTCGAACTGAACTCCAATATCATTCCTATAGGCAAGATACAAACCGGAATATTTTATCACCGAGCTTTGCTTTTTAAGGTAAATTAAGGCTACGTTCACACGGCACCGGACGAATTTCGACCTGCTAAAAATTTGACCAGACTTGGTTCACACGAGACCGTTCAATATTCATTTGCCCTGTTCAAACGGAACTTTCAGCGGCTTGGCGTCTAAAGTTTTGTACGGTTAGGTTGATGACCTGTGAACGGAACACCTTACTGCACGTATACTAAAACGGGTGATTTTCACAATTGTTTAGTACCAACAGAATCGGCAAAGATCAATCCCATGTGCCTTTCTTTAAGTAGCCGTGTTTGTAGTAAGATAAAACTAGTCGAGTACCGAGTTACTATGGCGACATATATCATAGAGAAATAAAAACGTTTGCTTAACTATAAGCCAGAAAATGTACTGTTGCTAGTGAATATGAGATGGTGATCTTCAAGCGGCTTCTGAGGGGAAAATTAAGATATCATTTTTCATCTACGACCCAAAGGAAACCAAGCGTGCTGTTCCTTTTGTAGGCTCTTGCAGACCGCATTGCTCTGAGCTGTTCGCTGATTCGAGGAGAGTACAATAGGGCCTGGAACGAGGTGATGCTTTGCGATGAAGCACAGGTAAGAAAGCGACCTATGTCGCTTAATCCCAACCACCCTGCTTTGTATGGATCATTTCGGGGTGTTGATGGCACAAACTACTACTGTACTCTACTCTACCTAGAGCGCTTCCCCTTTATTATTAACTACTTCAGGTTCTGGTTGCTCGAAGGTTGGCTAACACTATTCACCGGATAAACCGCCATCCAGGGGATAAGTATTACGAAAACCAATTGAACTATCCTCTGGATAATTTTTTTTTCCGGTGGATAGCATTATCCACCTTTGAACAGCTAAGTTCTGTTCGCCAAAAGCCGACGTTGCGTCACATTCTTTCCTCAATGCCCATTTTTCACTTCTTATATGAGTTGAACCAGCAAAAACCTTTAATCGACCGTAATGACCCTTGTTGCTAGCCTCCTAGACAGACGTTCTTAGGCCTTTGTCAAGCCTTCCTCTCCCAGGAACGTTCGCGGGTGAGGAACGCGTGACAAAGCCTTAAGAACGTGTGCGTAGGTTTCCTTGTTGTAGAAGTGACTAATGAAACGCAAAAACGCGATAATTAACAACCCGTTAGTGGAGTCTTCCCTGTGTACGCAAAATGTTGTCAGGAGATGATTTTCAGCTTAACTTTTTTTGTTTGTGTGTTTATAGGATGGCCAACCTAAGTTTCCTCCTAAAAGTTACATTGTGGATCTGATGCACCTCCCTGGCAGACTTATGAGTACCGACTCGCCCGAGGCCTCTCTCTACCAAAGGCTCTAGTAGCTTTTCAGTTCACGCCTAATAGCATTTTGACGTCGTAGAGTAGTTTTTGCCTTGTAATGTGGCCTTCGCGACTAAAATTTCAACTAGTCTCAAAATAGTTCAGATTTATGTCGCGTAATAAACCAGCATTTAATCTTTCTTGGAAGATGAAGAATAACAAACCCAGATCAGAGTAGAAAGCCTGAGATTTGCAGGAAAAATCGCTTGTTAAATGATGCCAAGGTTTAAAGTTTATACACAGCCAATCAACTGATGTATTTGTAGAAAACTTCTTAGCGGCATGTAAATAGTGTATATTAAACATTTTTGTTGTTTTTAGTTGTACTGGTTTGTTAGAAATGGCAGGAGCAGTTAGTAATCAAACTTCAGTATCAAACGTTGCTTAGTGGGGGAAAGGGGGGATTAAAAAAAGAGAAGAGAGGAGAGGAGAGGAGGGGAAAGGAAATGGGGGAAGAGGGGTGGTGAAGGGCTTTCCTCACGTCGCTCTAACCCCCTTTCGCTCTTTTCCCCTCTTTTTCCCCGGAAAAATCTGATGTTAATGTTATTATAAAACTTCTAAAGTAATGAGGAAGCAGGAAATGGAGAAGAGAATGTGGGGAATAGTTCTTCCAAATTACTGCAGAACATTTATTTTACCCAGTGTGTTGCGTCTAAAAACATAGAAGTTCACCAAAGATGGTTCTAACAAATCGCAGGGATATCGCATGAAAGCAAAAAAATTAGATAAGTATTTTTCGAAAAGTACAAGGCTGTGATTTATTTCTCTTTGCTCAGAATCTTTTTACAGTGTCTTCAACACCCTTCGTGTCTTACAAAAGTCTATAAATATAAAATACCATAAAAGTCTATAATTATGTACAGTGTTCATAAGTTGCACTGATTCCCTCTTTCTACTGTAAAGAACCGCGCCTCCTGACTACGAAAATTCCCGTCTCTGAAGTTAAGTCTTATTTGACAAGAAACTACGCCCTGTTGTGTACAACTTGTGTTCAATGAGTTTGAATTCGACCTTATTTATGAGGAATCATTTATCGACTTGAATTTTACATAAATAATTCTCACCGTGGTTGTATACAAGATGTGGAAGTTTCCAAAGTTTCGTGGAGTCTGAGACAAATACAAAATCATATGTACAAACATATTTTTGTACCATTGAATAAATAAATCTTCTTACAATACATGACTCGTTCAAACACCTTTCTAGTTCTCACTTTTCTTCGGTGCTCTTGTTCATAGCCAGCTGTACAGTTATAGTAGCATGTCTTACGAGAGAAGCCAGAAGATCAAGTAAATGAGCACCAAAACTCAACTATTGAGCCATAAGGCTGTTGTTTCTAATGGCAACTCACAGGATTTGCCAACCTCGACTCCAGGGTATTTTTCGAGAGAGATCTAGTTTGAAGAGACGATTTTGAAGTGGCGGGAGTTGTTTCACTAGCTTTACTTTTGTCATCTGTACGTTGAGCGTCTCAGAGTGTCTAGCTCTATTGCCATATCTTCCATTTGTCGAGCTGTTGATTCCTATCAAAGGAACAAAGTACTGTTACAAGATCCTGGCTTTCTAGTCCGCATTAACGCGGTCATTGTTGGCAGTTGAATAGAGGTTGTTTTCCGAAGAAAAGTGAAGTTAAGTCAATAAGGGGAATAACATACAGAAAGTTCGGTTTTAACGACATGAATGATAAAGTAACTAGGCCACCCTAGAGANGTGGAGTCTGAGACAAATACAAAATCATATGTACAAACATATTTTTGTACCATTGAATAAATAAATCTTCTTACAATACATGACTCGTTCAAACACCTTTCTAGTTCTCACTTTTCTTCGGTGCTCTTGTTCATAGCCAGCTGTACAGTTATAGTAGCATGTCTTACGAGAGAAGCCAGAAGATCAAGTAAATGAGCACCAAAACTCAACTATTGAGCCATAAGGCTGTTGTTTCTAATGGCAACTCACAGGATTTGCCAACCTCGACTCCAGGGTATTTTTCGAGAGAGATCTAGTTTGAAGAGACGATTTTGAAGTGGCGGGAGTTGTTTCACTAGCTTTACTTTTGTCATCTGTACGTTGAGCGTCTCAGAGTGTCTAGCTCTATTGCCATATCTTCCATTTGTCGAGCTGTTGATTCCTATCAAAGGAACAAAGTACTGTTACAAGATCCTGGCTTTCTAGTCCGCATTAACGCGGTCATTGTTGGCAGTTGAATAGAGGTTGTTTTCCGAAGAAAAGTGAAGTTAAGTCAATAAGGGGAATAACATACAGAAAGTTCGGTTTTAACGACATGAATGATAAAGTAACTAGGCCACCCTAGAGAATAAAACAAGCTAAGATTCCAAGCGCAAGCCCTTTCTTTAAAGCGAATCAAAAGGGTTGTTGGTTGAGTGTTGTTTAATAAAATCGAATGGTGGAGCTACTATTTGTGGGAGCAAGAATAAACCATTGAATTAAGAGTTCATTGTTTCTGCAAGGATCATGAAGGCAGATTTGAAAGATAAATTAATTGTGTTCTCGGTATTAGCTTTCTATGTTTTGCCTGTTAAAATGAAAATGACTGAAGAAAATGACTGAAGAACTGCCTTCAAGAATGACTGCTTTCAAGTCTAGGGTGCGTTTCAAAGAGGGGTAGTCTGCCCCATAAGTCAGTGTCTGTTTAAGGGAGAGCTGGCTATATTTCTGCAGTCCTCAAAGGTCGCTTGGGTTGAAATCTTTGGCTAAAACCAAATCCCTAAAACAGTTGCCTTCACAGACTTGTTCCCGTTAATGGCCGCTCCCCAATTTCGTTTTGGGATAAAATATCGAGAATGGGGTGAACCATTCATTTCTCTGGGCATTAGAAACATCTGCACCAAAAACTTGTTACCACCCACCCCCTAGTAAGGAAATATTTTGTACCTTGAGTCTCTCTAGCTTTTGCGTTGTCATTAGGTTATAGTCCATCTCAGCCTGTAAAACGTGTTTCATTCCTTTAGTTTCCCAGTGATTCTCTGCCACGTCGCTTGCAAGTTTGCTGATCGTCATTCGACTCGCCTGCCAAGTAATTTTAATTACAGTTAAACCCCTTTATTACAGACCCTCAGGGGGCCATAGAGAGTGTCCGTATTAAGCGGGTGAAACTTAGTGAAAATGTAAGACCTTCCTTTCCCCAAGGACAAAGCAAACTACCGTAAAATTCCGAAAATAAGCCCCGGGGCTTATATTTTTCAAAGGCCCATTTTGAGGGGCTTATTTTTGGAGGGGTTCATATTTGGAGGGACTTATCTATGGAGGGAAATATGCGTTTCAAAATCGATTGGGCTAACCTTACAGTTGGAAGGAAATTTACCGTTTTTGCTTTGTTTTACTTTGTATTTGGGGGCAATTTCCAAGTACAAGCCACCGGGGGGCTTATATATGGAGGGACGATTTAACGGACGGTTTTTTTGCGTTACAAGTTTGGGGCGCCTATATTTGGAGGGGCTTATTTTCGGAATTTTACGGTATTTGTAGTAACGATGTGAGCGTTTTAAGCTGGTGTCCGTTAAGCGGAGTTCGACGGTGTAGTGTATACGATGCTAATGCAAGCGCGTAGAAGCGAGAGAATGAATGTGATGTGATACACTCGGGGATTACGTAATTTGCATGTACTATAGATAGCGTGTGTTGTAATTTATTCGGGTCGGTTAGCGTTCTGAGTTCGGAGTGTAACGGTCGTGAATAAAGTGTGTTTTAACCTAACCGCGGTACTACAGACGGTACATTAAAAACCCGCAAGAAACAATCTGCATTTTCTCAAGTTAGCCTAAATAGGTTCCTACATGGCATATGGTAATAAGTACAAATTGAACAAATTAAATTACCCTCATAAGTTCTTTGGCTTTTTCAGTTGCTTCGTCTACTTTTCTCTTCTCCTCATTTCTTTTCTTGAAGTTTTCTCTGTTGTGTTTTTCTAAGGCGTCCTGTATTTTCCTGCAAATAGAACGTAAAAACGTTTTGAAAGGACAGTTCTCAACAAAACCTTACTCCTCGCCAAAGCTTCGTCTCTGAAATTCGTTTTGTTTTCTTAAAGCAGCGTGAAGGCTTCATCGTTTTCTACTACTTTACTTTGAGATTTTCAGTAAACATGAATTTAAAACTTAAAAAGCTATACAAAACAACGCAACGAAACATACTACAAAACACATATTTTTCAGAACTTGTATAAATATCATAGCTTGGTAAATCGGAATGTGCATGTGAATTGCAGAAAGACTAAGCTCAGGTGATCTTTCAGAACCAAAAGCAGGAGAAACATTTACAGTCGCCTAACAAAGGATGTTGTAACTGGCGCAAAACTGCCAAAGTTTTCGGAAATAATGTCAGCAGACTCACCTACCCAAAGTCAACAAAGTCAACAAAATTGTTTACCTTGATCTGGCTAGCTCAGCTTGTAAATTTCCAAACTTGGTCTTGAACC